GTCACGCAGTGTCCGCGGTGTAGAGGGAGGGCCCCTTGGGACAAGAGGTTCTTGTGGATGACGTGGTGCTGTGGTTTTCAGTTATCTAAGCTGCTGAAAAAGCAGAACGGGCACATCAGGCACAAGGAGACCTGGGTGGACACCGCTCGCGCGGGCAGAGGGCCCCCTGAGTGGGGCCCACACCTCGTCCCAGCAAGGCCTGGACAGCTACTGCTGCGGTTCTTGCACAGAGCGCGTTCTCACCCCCAGGTCTTTGCGGGGAGCACCCCTCCCCTCCTCCGGCGCCCCTCTCCTGCCGCACTCCTTCCCGCCTTCCCTGAGGTCTGTCTCACTCCAGCGGGGTGCTCCCACCGCACACCCCCTGCCACTGCAGGTGGCACTGGAGCACCACAGACTCCCCGCTGTGAGCGNGTCTACTGCCTCTCTCTCCCCACTACACAGTAAGCCCACAGGATGGGACTCTGTGACATCCACTCCTCTATCCCCAGCCCTGGAAGGTGCTGAATAAGTGAATAAACAAATTACAAGTGGGTGCAGCCCTGCAGCTCCACCCTGATTGCCAGGGGTGGGGCGGGACTCCACATGGGGGAGCCCCAGAGCATGGCACCCAGAGTTGGCAGTGCAGGTCCCCTCCCAGGAGAATACCCATCAGGAGCCAGCCTCCACGTTCCCGTGTATGGTGCCCACGTCCCCAGGGTAACACGCAGGGCACTGTCAGTGAAACTGGCTGTCTGAGATCTAAGCTCCATGTGCAAGGTTGTCTGCACAGAGTGTGTATTCCAGCTCAGGCAGCGGCTAGTGACCCCTCAGCACCTGTTTGTGAGGGGAGGATGGCCTGAGCTCCTGACAAGCCAACATTTTCAGGGAAGCTAAGTCAAGAGACTTCGAAGGGAGGCAGCGGGTTTTACTTCTTGGAGGTCCAGTTTCTTTTTTTTTTTTTTTTTCTTTTTGGACACAATTTGATTTTTATTTGGTCTTTACACAAGAGTTTTTTTTTTTTTTTTAACCTGGCTGGGAGGCCACATATATCCTAAAGCTTTACATGTTTTTCTCTAACCTTACTTTTGTAAAGACGTCTAATCCTATAAACGTCCTACTGTCAGAACTGTAAACTAGGTTTTAAAAAATCTTCATTCTCTCCCAGTTTGAATGTTCTGGGGCTCGGCTTGAAAGAAAAGGAGAGCCTGTACGGAGAAGGCTGGACGGCTCCTGCAAAATGCTGGCTTTATGCAGCTCTTGTGTCACGCTCAGAGGTAAGGCCTGGGCTTGGGGAGGGACCGCCCACCCGTCAGCCACAGGGGCCACCTCTGCTGACATTCACGGAGGCAACAGACTCCAAGAGGACATAAAGAGGATGGAGAGGAAGGCACAGTAGGTAATAAACTGTATTGTAAAAGCCACATATTTTAAAAAATATTCCATTAAAATCCTCTGAGGTTAATTTGTTAACTCAGGAAAAGAAAATCCCAAATGTAATTGTTTTTGTGTTAAACTAAAGGAAAGGACTAAAAACAATTGATATCAAAGGAGGTACGCCCTCCTTCAGATACAGAGAACAGGCCCAGCACTTGGGGCTCCAGGAATTCTCCAAAGCCCCTCAGTCTGAGGATGTGCCGGTGGCTGACCCTATTAACCTTTCTGGACAGAGCTGGCACCTCGGCAGACACAGGCAGCTGAGCCACAGAGACTGGTGAGAAGAGAGATGCAGGAACTTTTTAGAAAACACCAAGCCTGGCTCAGAGAGCTGGAAACGGAGGCCACTGCCTTGAACCAAGCTCCAGTTTATCGTCTAATGAGAAAGCACTGGCTTATTTAACATGACTTCTACTGCGTGGGCATGAGCCTGATTAAAGACAGAAAACACAGTATCAGGTCTGGCCTGCCCACAGCCCCAACACTGAGGATCCAGCTGAACGGGCTCCCGGGGACCCTCATCTGAACGGCCCCTGCTGGGCCACAGGATGACCTCTCCAGGTCAGCCAGGAAAGCTCCCGTCCTCAGTGGGGTCTCTAGTGGGCAGGGCAAGGCTGAAGGGATTTCAGGCTTCGAGCAGGCAGGGGTGGTGGCCAGTGGTCTGCACTCCCCAGGTGCTGGCCTGTTCAGAAGGGTCCACCTTTACCTCTAACTGCTCTCCATCTGGACATGGGGGATGGTTTGTACCCAGCAGCTGCCATGTCCCTCCGCCCCCTCCCTGTCATTTGTGTGCAGTTGGGACACAGCATGCAACTTACATTCCAGTCTACAGTACCGAAGAAAGGGTGACGCTTAATTTCCTCCACTCCGTCAATGCCAGCACCTGTAGTAACAACAGAGCAGAGATGACGCATCAGGACAAATGTGGGATCGCGTGTTCTCTCTCATGGTTTCTAATTCGGCTGTTCAAGGGGCAGGGCAGCACGCAGAGGCAGGTTCTCCTGTGTTTAAGAGCCCGGAGTGGCCATCTGCTCCTGCCTGCGGCACCTGCCCACCTGCCCAGTGCCTCACAGGCTGGGGAGCCCCCAGTCAGCCCTGAGGACTTGGGATAGGGGGAGGCCTGGGGCAGGGGCAGGAAAGGAAGAAGGCACAGGTAAGCCAGAAGCTTCCTGCTGCAGGTGTGGAAATGCCTGGGCACCCGGAAGAGGGAGCAGGAGGCTGTCGCGCCCTGCACGGTGCACAGGAGATGCTCACACTTGTGGGCCACCCAGGAGGCTGGGAAAATGCAGAAGGGCTGGAGGGGAGGGTCATGGCACAGAGCACGTTGCAAGGATGCTGAGGGGTTTCACCAGGGAGGGGAGAAAGCCTGGAAATAATGAGGAGATTGAACAGGACAACCCTGGAGA